TTTTGTCAGCGCCGGTAATTAATGTGTAATGTGCGTTGAAAAATGAATCATTTTTGCCAATGAATGGATGTCAACATCGGTTTAATTGTCTCACTCGTGAGTTGACCTTCTTTGCGATCAAGTCACGTAGCTGCTGTTCATAAATATATTCAAATTACCGCAGATTTTTCTTGGTATTCAGATAAGTGTTTGGTTGAAGTGGAAAAGTTTTCGTGAGCTTTGAACTACTCCCTCCGAAAAATCGAACAGTAAATTCTTGCCTCTTGGTCTCCCATGTAATTTCAATCTTCAGGGTTCAATGCACCGATTCTTTCGACAAGGTCAACAATTTGGGTGGCTGCAAAACAACTTTCGAAAAGTGCAAAAACTGCAACTGGGTAGTGGCATGCCACATTTCAAGGACAAGGGCAGGTAGATATTTCACGGAAGGCACAGGAAGACAAAAATCATTTCTGCTCAATTTAAAACAAAAAATAAATTAAAACTCACAAACATACATTTAGAGGGAAGTCAAATTAAAGTTAGCAAATATGAAAAAATAAAATTACATATTTTGGGGCTTATGCTAATGAAAAAAAAACAAACTTATTTTTCAGAATTTAATAGAATTTCCATTCCGTTTCTGATAAGTAGAGTTATGTAACTGAGGATTTCATGTCTGGATTACATTCTTGATCCAAAATGCGACACAAAAAATTATAAAACTAAATTCTCCATATTCTATAAGAAAAATACATATTTTTAATTCACTTTTTCAGTCGAACTCTGACAAGTGGAGCTAAGTAATTTTTAAAAGCTGGTCTGGAGGACCTTTATGAAAGCCATTTTTATATGGTATTATAATTGTAATAAGCCGACACAAAAAAAGAAAACACTAAATGTCCCATATGTAAGAATCATACGACATGCATGGGCCTTGTATCTAGCAGTCGAATTTTAAGCCTTTTTTATTTGTAAGTGCATATCAGATAATATAAACTATTCTCTCAGTGTACAGTTTTCCGCTTCCTTTTCCACCTCACTGACATTTGACGTCACTGCGCAGTGGATTTGCATATTCGCACACTGCGCAGACAGCCGAACCCAATATCAAGCCCCCGAAATGCGGAAGTCTGCGGGTGCAGTGCGAAAACCGCTACGCATGCGAAAAACTCGTTTTCCACAGCCCCTCTTTCCCGCCCCAAGTAAAAAACACGCAATGATCCAAGCCAAATGACCTTGATATTGCCAACGGGCCAATGCGTGTGTGCGCGTGTGGGGAAACTGGTCCAGTGGCGCTATAAACCACGTTTGCTATGCGGCATTTAAATGGCTTAAATGGCCACTGACAACTGATTTCTGGGTAAGGCTAAGCCGGAGGAAAAGTCAAACGGTAAGTGAAACCTAGCCCAAGGAAAATGCGATGTGAAATTTCAGCAGATGCGCAATTAGCGGGCACTTACACGGGAGTTAGAAATATATATCAAATTACGCATGCATAAAGGAAAATCGGATTTGAATTGTCAGTACTTAGTCATGATTACACAGAAAGAAATCGGACTTTTTGAATAATGCGCATTCAGAGTTATAAAAGAATTTCTACAAACTAATAAAAATGTACATTATATTAAAAGTTTTATTTTCGGTTTAAATCGCTTAAAATACATAGCATATCGAGCATTTGTTCTTAACCATTTACTTCAGTATTTGCTCTTTAAAAATGTTGCATAAAAAAAAGAGGTAGTAATAAGTTTTAATGCAAATATTATCTGTAAATATCTTGTAAAAATTGCTGTATTTTTCCCAGTGCATAGAGAGTTGTCTGACTGACTTTTGACGAGTGTGCAGGGTCATCCATGAATCAGCTATCAAATCACCATCTCCTTATTTTGCTCGCTCTCTTCCTCCAGGAATAAATGGATCGTATTTCCCAACAAGTTTAGCGAGTTTCGGTTTTGACTTCTGATGGAAATGGAGATGTGTAGATGATGATGGAACCGATAAGCATTTAGCATTAAATTTTTGTTAACCTTCCGCGCGGAGTTGACTCGCTCGATTTCAGAGAATGCTCGACTGCATCTTGAATTACAAATAATCGCAATTGTCTGCCCAAATCTCCCGGCTCCCTTTTTCGCTTTGTTCGGGTGGTAGTTTCCTAGTTTGGAATTCTGACTCAGACTTTTGGGTTCGGAACAGCAGCTGAAATAATTGAGAGACAACGCGGAATTATGGCAGCATGGATGCGGAAAATCCTCTGCTTTGCATGCATCCCCTCCCTGAGGGCTCAACCCTCATTATCTGTTCGCCGATTGTGATTAACTCGGCCAAAGTAAAAGCCTGACAAATGCAATGCTGAATAGAAACGCATCCATCTCGCTCTGGCCAATGAAGATGACGGCGCAATCAAAACAGAAATAACAACAAAATCAACCTTCTGATATAACTCCCTCCCTTCGAATTTCCTGGGTGGCAGTATCGTCGCATCAGGCAAACGCCTCGAAATCGGAATGGAAATCAAAAAGGCAGCAGCGGCAGAGAGGCCAACGGAAGAAGGACTCTAACCCGTACAGTGAGCGCTCGATAATTGGAATTTATCTAAAGGAAGAATTCTGAAAATTGCAATCCTAAAACAAAGTTTCAGAAATTATTTTAAAAATGTTTAAAACTTAAAAGATAGTTATCATTCAATAGTTTATTTGTATGTAAACAAATTCAAAATTGGCGCTTTAATATCACAATAAATTAGAGTTAGGATTATTTCATATGTATATTAAATTTAGGAAATAATGTTTTTTAAAACAATAAAGCAAAAAAAAAAAGAAAACAATCTCATAAACATCTAAATGTTTAGAATATTAATATATTATAATATTAATATGTCAATATTTTTTAAAAAGAATAAACTCAATCAATTATTTTCCGAGTGCTTACTGTTGCTGGACCATTTCAACCCTCCGGTGGGCACACCCTCAAGCTAATCCGGCCATGCTCAACTGCTCAACTTCACCTTGGATCGGCTGCTCTTGCTCTGGCTGTCGCCTCCTTGCCATGTTGTTCCTATATAGCTAAATGCTGTATGTGTACTATGGCTTCTATTCTTGTTGTTGTTTGTCAACTGATTTAATTTCCTCCTCCTTTTTGCCGCTCACTGATTACCGCCTCCTGCTGGGAGAGGGCGTTCTCCGTTTTTGGCCACACAAACAAACCCGCCGGATGATGATGATGATGACGATGAGGCGATGATGATGGCAATGGCGATGGCGACTTGCAAAAGGGCAAATAACGGTGTAAATGAGAGTGTTGCTACTCGAGAACTTCGACCACATGCGGCTACTTTGTGCCGCACACACACACACACAAAACAACGGAGAGTGTGCCGGTGAGTGGAAATCGCTCATTAAAATATGGAAAACCGATTTGCATACCCAAATGCTTTTATTCGATTAACGGTGTTTGCTGAGAAAATACTTGCCGGAGGTTATGTGAGATAAATTATCAGAACTCTTGTTTAAGCAACTGGTATATTCTTAGATAAATCTATAAAAGAATGTTGTTTTGGCTATGACTTAGTTATAACCGGTTATAATTGAAAGAAATTTAATTTCATTATTTCAAATTAAATACGAATTTCCTGTGTTATTCACCTAACATTCACGTGGCTCTGTCTTTTGAATGCAGATCCGTTTGGATCGTTACTGATCAACTCTAATGCCAAAAGTTCTCTGCAAACATTATGCAAAGGGGGCGGTGGGGGCGTGGGAGTGGGCATGGAGCATGTGGGTGGCAGCCAACTGTTAGCCATAAACAAGCCCAAACAATGCCAGACATTTCAAACACAATAAATAATTGAAGCCAGCGCGGAGTCAACAAGACAAACACATTGCAGCATTGGCGATTGTTGCCAAGCGCTTTTGGCCACACCACAAAGTCCAGCTTTGAGTGCGATCTAGATATAAATCAACTTGGCCATGCACATGCAGAATGCAAATACAGCTTCACAACTGTATGGCACAGAAGAGGGGAAGGAAAAGTTAACAACGCTCATTCGGCAAATTTCCCAAGCTCTGATGGTTTTGTTTCTTGGCAGAGTTATCCATCAAAATCGACAGTTTCTGAGGGGCTTTTAACACTGCAAAAATTGTTACAAGCTATATTTAAAAACTCTTTTCAAGTTGTTAATACTAAATTTATAGCTGGAGTCACTAGCAACTGCAAGAAAATTGTTGTCCAAAAGTTAATATCTTCACTTTTTTACGATTTTCTTGTAGAAACTATTAACATGCTACTATGCTACCCAAGTAGCTACTATTTAACCTTTAAAGGATATATAAATACACATATTATTGTAATAGCCATAGCTTTTAGGATTATTTATTTCTTAAGCCTTAATTAACTTTCTCAATATCAGATTAATATAATTTTAATTATAGCGCAATTTAGAAATCCCATATTACATTTTTATTTAATACAAAACCTTGTTTTTTTTTTTATATATATATTCTTTTTTTTGCCTGTGGTGGTCACTATTGCCATAAAAATTGCATCATTCGAAGGCAGTGCCTTACAGCAGAACTAATTGATAATTCCTGGTTTTCGCCAGATCCCCCCCACAGATGAGGATACTTGTGCGCCGGATCGAAACTGGAAAACTTTTGAAATAATTAAAAAATAGTTTCGTCTTGGGCTTGGGCTTGGGCTGCAGCCAGAAACTGTGGAACTGAGTGCATATAGCATATAGCATATATATAGCTATAGAAAGAAAAAGTTGGCGCTCCAAGCGAAAGAGATCGAAACTGGTAAAACGACTTGGCAACACGACCGCGATACCAATACTCGCCCAAAGTTGACTTATTGGAGCACTTAGCTCGATTCTTGTTATTGTTACGCTGGCTGCTGCCGTCTTGGCCGACTTGTTGTTGCCGTTAATAGTACCAACACAATTACATGGCTTCGAGTGCCTAGGCGGAGTCGATCGGCGATCCAAGGTTCCCGCTCGGACTATAAAAAGCATGGGCGGCGCCGTTGCGGAAGGCAGTTAACTCCACAAATCCGTGGCCGTCGGTCCCATTTATTAAGTAACCGACTTGTGAGCGTAAAGGCGCGTGTGAATCCCCCTGAAAAAGAAAAAACAATAGTGTGCAGTTTACGCTTGACAAGGATACTCCAAATTCTCCCCACTAAAATGTTTAGATTTGTGAGTTGTGTTTTATTTAAGGGTGTAACGAAAGACTTGAAAGCTTTAAAAGTCACTTAAATGTTATTTTACGAATTGTTTAGATCAATAGAATTATTGATAAACTGTGAACAGCTTTGAATTACCATTTAATAATCAGAATACTGAATAAATTGTGATGTCTTTCATATGCAGTGAGATTAATTCTTAAAAGTATGGTATTTAATTTTTATGCTATTGCTAGTCTTTGTATTTAAAAAGGGAGAATACTGTTTTCTGACGGGATAACAACTGAGTTAAATAATTTTGCTGTGATTTTAATTGAAGAAAAAATGTTACATTTAAAATCTTAAAGTTCATGAATACTCCAGACAATTTTAGAGTTCTTTGGAGTTTTGAAGGACACACAATAGTCAACTTATTTAGTTTGTGGATTGATAATAAATAGCGATTTTTCTTATAGCTCGCATTGACCACCTTGGTGGCACTGGCATCCAGCCAGCATTATCACCAGGATCCCAAGACGGCGGCCATTATCAGTGAGCAGCGTTATCTCTCCGGAGATGGTAAATTTGGAGCTGCCTATGAGCAGGAGGATGGTATTAACTTCAAGGAGGAGACCGATGCGGATGGCACACGTCATGGCAGCTACAGCTATGTGGATCCCTCGGGCCAGAGGCGCACTATTTCCTATACCGCCGGCAAAAATGGGTAGGGATATGATTGGGTTTAAGCCTAGAGTATGTAGTAATTATCGTAATACTCTGCCCAATTAGTTTCCAAGCTTCTGGAGATCATTTGCCACAGGCACCACCTGCCCCGCCGCAGCCCGTGCCCACGGCCGGATATCAGCCACAGCAGCAGTACCAGCCGCAGCAATACCAGGCTCCGGCTCCACAGCCCCAGTCCTCTTTTCGCAGCAACGACTACGGAGATGATGGATCCTACGATCCCCGCTACAACGATCCCTCTTTCGGGCAGAACCAGCAGAGCTACCAGCAGCCCGCTCCCCAGCCCCAGTACCGCCCCGCCCCGCAGCCCGCCTACAACCCGCAGCCCGTGCAGCCCCAGCCGCAGCAACAGTATCAGCCGCAGTATCAGCAGCAGCAGCCACAGCAGGCGTACTACACCACCACCACGCCCAACCCCCATCGCTTTTCGCCACCCGGAAAGCTCTCCCTGAACCGCACGCCCGACGGCTTCACCTACTCCTTCAACAAGGTCTAGGACTTAGTCGCCCCTCCTCCAACTTACTACTAACTCAGACATGTTGCATCTTCTTCATAAGGGACACCACCCTTCCCTTTTAGTTACTTCCCCTATCATAACTTTACTCTCTTCTTGACTCCATCAAAACTCTTGTGTGATAATGTTTAAGAGCAAATTGTAACTATGTATCGTACTTCCTATATGCGTACTGTTTGTTTGTAATTTATAATCCTACACAGAGAAAATTATAAGTCACTACCCAAGGGGTAATGCCAATTAAAATTTGAAATATTCAAAATATCATTTGGATATTTGTGAAATATAAAACAAATTTGAAACTCTGTGTTTTCCCAAAATCCCCCTTCAATACTTAGAAAAGCGAAGATAATAAACTTCGAAGATGTTGATCAAGTTTCAAATTTAATTTAGAATCTGTAGTGTTTTGGGCCTTGGGACATCTAAGCAATTTTGTACTTTAGATGTTTAAGAGCAATATACGATAACAAGTTGAAGGAAATCCAAGTTCGTGTACTGCAGTCTTTTGTTTTTGGCCAACGACTTTTTTAATTTGATTTCCAGCCGATTTATCTAAACACCTCAGGTGGTGAACGCCCACTAAATGCTGCATTACACAACCAACTTTCGTACATGCAAAACGAGTTTGAGTTCGGTTTCTGTTACGATTCTATGCGGCCAACAAGGAAAGACCTCAAACGGGTTTCGCCTATTTGACAGTAATCTTGGCCAATTGTGCAAAATTCCAATGAAAATGAAATCAGCTTGGGCTATATATGTGGGCTAAGCCGGAAAACCATGTGCAAGTGGGGGTGGCAGAGGCTTAATAGGGGAATGGGGCACTAAATCAATTCCCAATGCTACTTCAATCCGTCAGGCTCCAGTTCAGTTAGTGCAACTTAATTACAACCAAATATTTTGCTCAGTTTTATGCACCACCGAACGCAAGAATGCCAGCTAATTGACTGCTTCCTCTCACTTGTTAAGTTCTTAACAAAAAATAATATGTGTGCAATTACATACTGACAACTTATTTTATATACCTAATGCAAGCAGGAGAATTACTTATATAATATATCAATTTATTTAAAATTATTGCTTAAGTGGCTAAGAATCTCTTGCAATAAAATAAAGTATATGATTAAACCAAATATGTTTTGTTGGCTTCAGGAATATTTTATCATGTCGGCTTATTAAAAAAAGTTTTTAGCAGTGAACCCTATTCATAAATGTAAATCTTAAGTATCTTACACAAATAGTTTACACCGAGAAAAATAAATCATTCCGTCAACGTAATATTTTTTATTCCACGAATTGCTATGCAATTTGTTACATCAAAAAATTAACTAATATTTAAATATAGAATTTCAATATTGAAGTTATTGCCTAGCAATTCTAAAACAGCTTAGCGACAATTAGAAACTATAATTATTTTTCAATCTGTACTTTCCACATCCACCGGTTGGCATTCTTTTTCACCACCAGCAACGGTTACATTAACAATATTAGCAACACTTTTCAGAGCTTAGCTTTCAAGGTCAGTTTTGTTGTGGACTCGAGAGTCCGGCTCAGAGTTTGGATTTTTGCCTTTACTTGGGCTCTGGGGTCTGGCTTCTGTTGAAATTGCCCAGTCAATTAAGAAAATCAATTTGGTTTTGTTTCTTGCTGCTTATTGTTTTCTATGATTTCTTCTCCGCGTGCCTTTGTGCACCCACTTTTGCGGCATTCGCAATTGATTGGATTGGCTTGCTCAATTGCGGATTTTCGTTCGGTTTTGCGAAAGAGGTGAAAGTCAAGAATTTGCCCGGAATATCGGAACAGGTGTCATATGGGTGTGTTGGTTTTAGTGAGTTCTTTAAACGACTATTTTTATGATTCATACCCGGTTATGATTGACTGGATTTATTTTTAAAATGGCAAACGTCGCCAGACGTCGCGAGATGTGGAGCTCCATTTATGGGTTGTGGGTGTGACGAACCGAGGTTTCTATTAAGTGAGTAATTAATATACTTAATTAACTGCCGAATAAAAACTTTTTAACACGATTAAATTGAGAGCTAATTTGTCATTGGGTTAAGTGTTTTTATTTTAATTTAATTTGATTTCTTTTTATAAAGTTCCTGCTTGGGCCACATGCTGGGCACCCTAAAGACGGTCTCGTGCCTCGTGGCCCTCGGCTGTTTTTTTTTTTAATTTTGGAAAAGCCGTCCCCTTGAAAATTTGTTATTCTGAAATTTTCTCACTTATTCAGTAAATTTGCTCACTTTCCTATTCTACAGCAGAAATCCGAGTCACCTTTCTGGTTAGCTGGGACTCGAACCGACTGCATCCAGGTTTTGTAGACTAACGCTAAAGGGCGCCACTGTATGTAGAAAGACGGTAAGACAGAATATGTCGAATAAAATTATTATTACATTAATTATTTTGAAATCGCTCAAAATATTTTCAACAGCAAGTCCCGAATATTCGGAATATTGCTCAGAAAAGTCATTTTAAGTCGAATCAAAATATATATTTAAATATGTAGTTTAATGACTTATAGATAGAAAAAACGACGTTTCTCAGCATAAATTCTTTAAGATCTCTTTTTAACCAGCTTGAAATTTATACCAATTATTAATAAAGGTAAATGGTTTTTTATTATTTACAACCCTACTGTACAGTACGACTATACTACAAATTAGGCGATATTTAAATTAGTAATTAGGTAAAGACTAAGTAGATCCTCTCACACATTGATGACCAGTGCTGTGGATCGGTACTTCCGTTTGGGTTTGATGATGGTCTTGGGCGGCCGGTTGAGATCTCCGCCCGGAGGCCGCCGGCGGGATCGGGATTTCTTGGACGGAGGTGGCAGCGGATGGTCGATGTACTTGCTGCGCAGGTGTCCCGGACCGGAGAAGTTGGGCGGATAGGCCTCGAAGTCCTCGATCTCGAGATCTGGCCGGGATTCCCGCTCCTGCTCCTGCGCCTGAGCCTTGAAGAACTTCTGCAGCTTGGGATTGTTCAGTAGCTGCACTTTGATGGCCTCGTCTAGCAGCTTCTGCTGGTCCTCCAGATACGCCTCTATTTGCTTCTTGGAGGCCACACTCTTGTAGCGATCGTGGCTCTTGGGTCGAGGCACTGGGACCACATCGTAGTCATCGTGTTCGGGTTCGGGTTCGTAGACACTGTAAGAATTGCTGCTGGAGGCAACGGTGGCTTTGGGCGGTGGCACTAGGTGGAAGGGATCGGCTTCCGCATCGTATTGCACTGGATTCCACTTTGATCGCTTGGGCGGTGGACCGACATCATCTCCGGATCCAATGTGAACGTGAGCATCGGAGCCATAACCAATGGGCTTGTGAAGATCGGAGTCATAGCCAGTAGCCTTGTATGGAATGGCCGTCACGTATTTCGGCTGCTTGGCGTAACCAGAACTGCTCGACTTCTTTGGCACTGTAATCGGATGCTGGACGCGGATCTGGGTGCCAATGGTGTACTCCCGACTGTCCTGAACGGAGGACTCCCCCGAGTATTCGGCGGAATTGTAGCGTTCACTGGAATAGTCCTCTTCCTCCTGCTAAACAAGCATTTAATACGAAAACTTAAATATTAATAATACACTTTTGGAAGGTTAAATTTTACTAGAAAACACAACATTAAAGAACGTTAAGTTGTTACTTTGAAGTTTAGGTCCCATTTAATAGTTATAACTAAAACTTTAAAAACATTTTGTAAACAAATTAAACACATATTTTAAATCAAACTTTTTTAGAAATTGGCAATGATTTAAACCTCAGCATTTTTGTCATAACTCACCGATCCATAGGGTCTGTAGTGGCTCTTCTTGGGATATTTTTTGCTCACGGGCCGGTGCTTGCTCTCATTTGTCTGCAGATCGGCTCGCAGGTAGCCAGCAGGTCCTAGTCGCACGGGTCCTGGCAGAAAACCTGATCCATGTCCGTGTCCTGGTGCCACTGCACTGAAGTAGCTCCTACGGTAGTAGGACCTCGGAGGTCTCAGGCCAGAAGTGACATTGATCGTAACTAACAGCATCACCAAGGCCACCAAGAACTGTGGGGTTAATATCCATTTTAGCTTAAATGTTGATTGATAATTCCGGTTGTAACAGCTTACATTCCGGCACAGTTTCATCTTGAGTGGGCTGTGTTTTCGGGGGGTTTTATGGCTTTTAAAAACTCTCTTCAACGGTATTAACCACCAGCGTGGCCCCAACGAAACTGAAAGTTCCGCCAACGGACGCAACAGTTTTATGCCAGCTTCCTCGAACCTGCCGCAACATGTTTTGCAATGGCAATCGCAATTGAAACCTGCCAGGTGAGCTAGTCAGTATGCAGTAGTCTGCAGATCGAAATCGAAATCTTCGCTTCACGCATGGACTTGCTACTAACAACACAGAGTTTACAACTCGCAGAGTGAGGCATCATTTGCATTTCCACTAGGAAATAGAGCGCCAACCCATCGCATGGGGCGGGGGGGCATAAATAAAATGTTTCTTTATGCCCGCAATTACACATAACGAGGGCCATTTGCTACTTTGAAGTTGTGACCGCGGAGGGGGTTTCGGTTTCGGTTTTGCTCTGTGACTTAATAGGAAAGTAAGCAAATTATATACACAAGAAGGTACGACAATAAAGTTGATAGGCGAAGATTGATAGTTTTTTTAAGATGGTGTAAAATAACTTGAAACTTATTTATTTATTTACTAATCGGGAATTTAAATTATGACTATGAAACAAAGATTTATACAATTTCAAAGTGCTTTTACTAAAATTATATAGTTCTAGTATAACTTATTTATGACAGCATTTAAAGCTTCTTATTTTTTTATGTTCAAACAATTTGTTTAGATAATTTGTAAGCTATACTTTGCACAACTTCAAAAGAAAGGAATTATTGGTTTTATTCTCTCAAATTTCTTTTCATATATAACTAATATGAAAAGTTGAAAACTTAAACTTAAACGCTAAGATTTTAAATTAAAAAAAAATATTTAAATTTTATAAACCAAATAAATAAAGGCTTTTATTAAAACTCAAAATTTCTTGAAGTGCACTGGGAAATGCTGGCACGAGCCACACACCCACATAAAAAGCAGAAGAGCCACATTATCGACTTATTTGAATCAGTTTTTTCTGCAAACGGGTTTCCACGAGTAATCGCCCAAGCGATCGGTTACCCAATAAATGCAGCGCTTTTTATTTCTCTTCGCTTTTGGCCCGAAGTTCAGGTTCAGCCGGGGCACAAACGAGGAAATGTTAGCCAGGTGGCTCCGCTTTTTGGCCTTTTTTGTCAATTTTGTCGGCTCGCTTGGACTACT